GGGGGCTTTTTTTTTTTTTTTTTTTAAATAAAAAAGACTGGTCCTTTCTAAGTCATGGTGACCCAGTTGAACAACCTGCTTCCTTCTCCTTCAATGAAAATACATGAGTTGCACCATGAGATGACAAACGAAGGCTGTATAAGCACTTACAGACAAAGTCAGGAGACAGTGATTTTCAAAAGAATTGTTCCTTTGTCTTTGATGGTCAATTTACCTAAAGTGGTTCAGCATCCTGCTTCCACCTAGGATGCAGAAAGCTAGAAAGAATGTCTCTCCTACTCTAACAATGGAAAACACCAGATAAACAGCAAAATCACAAGTTTTCTTGAACCACCAGAGAGCTGAGGTTGCAGGGCAAACAAGTGGCCTGAAATCTAAAAATGGACAATCTCCTCCCCCCAAGGGAGATGGGACATGTGCAGATTGTCTTGCCTGTGATAAACAGAAGTCCCCTACAAGCAGAAGAAACAGTGAAAGGATGGAGTAAAAGAAATATTTGAAGAGATAGTGGCTGAGATTTTCCAAAAATAAAAACGATCCAGGAAGCTCAGAGAACCTCATGCAAGATTGAAACTAATACTAAGCAAAAGCAAAATAAATTCCTTAAAAAACACACTAAAAAACCCCACATCTAGATGCATCATATTCAAAGTGCTAAAAAACACATACAGGAGAAGGCAAACGTAGGTTTTCAGTTGTGTGTACACAAAACAGTGTATTCTTATATTATTATTTGTTTACCTGTATTACAACTGTAAACCTATTTTTGCCCACCTATATAAGAAAAAAAATCTTGTGTCCTTAAACCAGCAAAGGATTCCACAGATAAAGCCCTTCTGAAAATGAGCGCACAGTCCAGATCAATATACACACTTTTTTTAAGTCATAGAAAAGCACTTGACCCTCTGTCTCCTGTCCTCCCAGGCTGGTCATTCTTATTATGGCCCTGCTGATCATTCACCGTTTTCAAGTCCCAAAACAATTGTTCTTTCCCATCTTATAAGAGAGCTCCTTGAGGACAAGGATTGTTTCATTGTCCTTTATNGGCCCTGCTGATCATTCACCGTTTTCAAGTCCCAAAACAATTGTTCTTTCCCATCTTATAAGAGAGCTCCTTGAGGACAAGGATTGTTTCATTGTCCCATGGCGTCTACTACCCTGCAGCTGCTTCTCAAATAATCAGATGAAAATCTGACTCCTTCGCTGACTAGCTATGTGCTCTTGAGCGAGTTACAAAGCCTCTCTATTGCTCTGTTTCCTCACTTTCAGAGCCTGAAAGAGCTGGTTGAGTTCTTTTCACATCTCATCACTCTGAACTCTCCTTCTGCCTCCCTCCTCTACTTTAAAGACCCTTATGGTTACATTGGGCCCATCCAGATAATCCAGGATAATCTCCCCATTTTAAGGCCATCTGATTAGCAACCTTAATTACATCTGCTACCCTAATCCCCCTCTGTCATATAACATTATGCACTCACAGGTTCTGGAGATTAGAACATGGACATATTTGAGGAGCCATTATTCTGCCCACCACACTGGCAAGTAGCCCATTTGAAGAAACAAGGAAAGAACAAACATTTATTATATAGTACTTGCTATGTACCAGCAGTTTGCATTTATTCCTCACAACAACCCTATTAAGTGGCTACTATACTTTTTCCCATTTTTCAGATGAGAAAACTCAGCCAAGGAATATGGGCAGCCCCTGGAAGGTGGGAAAGACCTTCAGACAAGAACACAGCCCTGCTGACACTTTGATTTTCACCCAATGAGGCTTCTGACCACTGAAATGTCAGATAATAAATTTGTGTTATTTTAAGCCACTAAGTTGGTGGTAATTTGTTATCATAGCAGAAGAAAACTAATACAGTCAGTTATAAAATGATTAGTCAAAACAGACATGCTTATTAATAGATTCCCAGGGGCCATTCTCTATGCTAAGTAGAAAGACTCTTATCCAGCGTTTCAGATACCTCTCCATACCCAAACAGGTAACCCTGAAACTGGCTTCCTCTTGGGGTGAAGAGGAAGTCTGCCCCACCTCAGTGAGATCTCCCAGCCCTGCAACTCAAGGCTGTAACAAGCAGTTCCAAGGCCAACTGCTATTGGAGTGAATGACTTGTGCTGACTAGATATAGCTATAGTCAATCAAAAACAAGAGCCAGAGGAATGCATACCTGTAAGTTGTGATGTGAAACACAGCATCTTTGTTGCCGATGTTTCTCACCAGCAGAATCTTCTGAGTGCTATATTTGACAGGGCAAGTGGAAAAATTCAGCTTGTCAGGAAAATCTAGGATGGCTCGTGCGCCTCTGGCTTTGATGGGTACAATGAACTTTTCCCTTTCAGTAACACAGGTCAACATATGGGCGTAATCCTACAGGAGAAGGAACAAGCATTATTTGTGGAAACACCAACATGAGCAAGATAATGATGGCCGTATGCCAGGCATCTAGCAAAAAAATATTAATATATTCTATGAAACTGCCTCAAGACAATTATAGCTGTACTTTCAATGAGATACCCTTTTCTGACAGAGAGAGAACAGGTCAAGTGTTAAAACCTACAAGCTGCCCTGGCTGGTGTGGCTACGTGGTTAGAGCGTCAGCTCACACACCAAAGGGTCATGGGTTCAATTCCGGTCAAGAGCACGTACTGGGGTAGCAAGTTTGATCCCCAGGTGCCGGCACGTGTGGAGGCAGCCAATCAATGTGTCTCTCACATCGATGTTTCTCTCTCTCTGCTTTCCTCTCTCTCCCCTCTTTTCTCCCCTCAACCCCTTCCACTCTCTCTAAAAATCAATGAAAAAAATATCCTCAGATGAGGGTTAACAAAACAACAACAGAACAAATCTACATGCCAACAGAAAGCGATGGTTCTTGTGTTTCCCAGATATGAGGGAGGCGGGATGGGACTGGTTGAGGCACATCTTTGCTTAGATCAGAGGCGGTTCTCAGCAGCTCCCCCACATCCTCCCCTAAGCATGCCTATTCACCCTTCCGGGACATGTCAGCTTGACGGCTCCAACTGGTTTCTAGGTGGGAATGCCAGACCCCAGAATTATGTTATTCAGACATATGGAAGCACAAATTACATGAAGCACACTTGATCCTAGAAAACTGCACAGAATTCAAGGACAAAACAGTCTAGTCTGATTACATCAGAACCCTAATGAGATAAGTGCTGTTTTCCTTCTCTCTCAGGAAATCAAACCTAGCAGGCAAAGGTTTTGTTGGGAATCAGAAACTGGAAAGCTTCTGGCACAGGTGGAGACTTAATATTAACTGAGGCTTTGAGAGAAAGAACAAAGGCAGCTGCTGAGTCCAGGATGAGAGATGATCCCAAAGTAATTTGTCCTATTTTATTCTATATTTGCATATCATCTGCCTCATCCTGTAAGAAACTGAAAATGGTTTAGGAAGCCAATCTAAATACTCACACGGATGTTTTCAACCCTTTTCAAATTTCCAAATGAGGAAGATTTGAAGTTTGGTTGGAACTTTACAGGGGTGGGCAAATGCAGGTTTGAATTCAACCATGTTGGGAGGCAATAGGGTTGACCCAAGCAGGCCACTGACATTCAGGCTTGTTTACTGCTCTTCAAAGACTACGAGACTGTGTAAATAACGAAGGCCAGCAATGCGAGCACCTACAAGATTGTACCGAAGTGCACTGTGCCACTGTGGCATTCTTTTGAGTTAATAAAGCCACTGTAATCATCATAACATACATGTCTTTTTCCATATGAGCTGTAAACCTACTTCTGCCCACCCCTGTATATTTCTTTCATAATCAATTCATTCACTCGTAAAAGATTATGAAGAAATTCTTTACACAGCTCCTCAAAAATGTATCCCAATCTCTGGAGTTCTATATTTACTATGGCTATATTAGATTATGTAATATGCAATTATGTATTACTCTACTGGCCTAAAATTAATTCAGCTGTTATGATGGGGGAGGCTTTGTCAGCCTGCAAGCTAAGCAATTACTTTAGTGATGTACTCCCTTCCACTGAGCTTAGATTCAGGGCAATCAGGTCCCCATTCACAGCCACAATATTTATTCTGAGCTCTGGGCCTTCTACTATGAGAGACTTAGCCATAAGTTACTTTATATCCTAAAATGCTGTCCTATGTAACAGTGTTCTCCAGATGAAGCTTCCAATCCATTTTTTGTCAGTCTTTCTTCCAACATGCCTCTCCTCCTAACTTTAAAAAACCGGCAGAATATGAAAATGGGAGATGTGGCTTTCTGAAAAATGAAAAGAATGAATCTTGATTTTTTATTAGCTCCATGATCAAAAGCAAACATAGCAATAATTCTGTCCTTAAAATTCTCAGGCAAAGGAAAATTATGTCTCTCTTCTGCAGCAAAGACCTAGCAAGGCATTCAAGGGCGGGCACGGCCAGCATGGCTAAGCCCTCGCAATCCTCTTTCTGCCTCTTCTCCACTCCTAAACTCAGTGTGGGCATGGGTAGCACAGAGTAAAACCAGATCTGATTAGAACTCAGTGAATTTAGCACTTGGTGTCCCTGGAAAATGTTATAAATTTCCTACCCAGTGAAAAGTGTTTATTATATAATATCTTCTCAATCTGAAATTTACCCCTCAAAAGGGAATATTCAGCTAAGTTCCAAACAGTTTGAAAATGAGACTGTCATGGGAATGTAATATACAAAGTAGGAAGAGAGTCAATAATATCATAATAATTACGTCCAGTGACAAATAGTTACTAGTTATTATAGTGATCACTTTGTAAAGGATATAGTTGTTGAATCACTATTCTGTATATCTGAAACTAATATAATGTTGTGTGTCAACTATAATTGAAAATAAATTAATGTTTTTAAACCTGAGACTGATCAGGTACCATGGGCCTTATCCTCTACAGCTCGGACTCTTCACGAGTTAGCTGGGGCCTCAGCTTCCTAGCAGCATCTCCACTTCTCCATCTGTGGCCTTAAGCTTGAAAAACAGACCTGAGACTTCCAAATTTACTTTTATCCTTAGTACATACAATGATAATGTGGGTACTTCATGATTTATGTATAAATCATCCACTTCAGATAGCTAATTTCCTCTTTTGTTCTTTTGCTTTCTAAGTTCCCTGTAAACCTACCAACCAGCCTGTGTCTATACCCATATACTCTGCTTTCACTCCTGTTCCTGTCTAAGGCCAACCCCTGGTCCTTGTGCACTAGAGCTCAGTCCTCGCCTACTCCAGGCTTTCCCGAAGCATCAATTTTCCCTCTGCTCAGCATTCGTTCACACATCAGCTTATGACCACGCTTGAATAGCCTCGTCTTAAATAACCTACCCTTGACCCCAACATCCGCTGCCAGCTACTGCCCATTTTCCCAATTACCCATTACAGCAAAAGTCCTCAAGGTGTCATCTGTGCTCAATATCACCACCTCCTCACCTCCCACTCTCTCTTCAACCCACCCCCCTCAGGCTTTTGTACCCAGCATTCCACAGAAACTCTTTGACTGCTCCCTGCCTGGGGAAATGGTGCCACCATTTGGTCAGCTGCCGGCCAAAATACCATGAGTCAAACTAGATTCCTGTCTTTCTCACACCCTTTATCCAATCCATCAGCCAACCCTGGCAGCTCTACCAGAAAAATATATGTTCTTATCCCATCTACTTTTCATCACCTTCGCTGTCACCACCCCGGTCCAAACCATCCTCATCTTTTGCCCAACTATTGCAATAGCCTCTTGTCCCTGTTTGTCTCTGCTACATATAACAGGGAACAGAACAAATGAGAGCAACTTAAACTAGATAGATAGAATTTTATTTCTTTCCCATAAAGAAGTCCAGAGGTAGGTGGCCATGTTGGTATGGTAGGTCCACAGGGGTGACCCAGACAGAACTAGAGAGGGCCAATTCCAGGTAGGAAGAACACAAAATCCCTAATGAATTTTTTGACCAACAAAAATTGTTGATTGTGGGAAATTCTATGATAGTTAATCTTTAATTCAAAATGCTGGCAATATAGTTCATTATTGTCGTACACCTAGGTAACATAAAATATGTTAACATTTTTCTATTCTTCTTGGGCCATCATTTTTTAAATTTCATAACAAATCAAGAAAACTATTTTGACAACAAATTATTTTCTTAAAACATAACTGAGCAATAAAATTGCATCACTTCATATTTTGTTCACTGCAGTCATTTCCCTATGATAACACTGTAGTAAACAGATGCTTAAGCCCAAGAAAGTACCCATTTTTGCTTTACTACAAAAGCCTAATATATTTTTTAAAGTTATCTTTATTGTTTAGACTATTACAGATGTCCCCCATTTTTCCTCCATTACCCCCCTCCACCCAGCTCCCACCTCACCCCAAACCTTCACTACAGTACTGTCTGTGTCCATGGATTATATTTTTCAAATGCCTTTTATAATAGTAAAGATACAAATTTAAGAGGTCAAGAAAAATGCCAGGTTCCAGGATTTTATAGTGTTATGACAACACTGACTATACATTTCTACCACACATGGCATGTACACTAGGATTATTAGATTAATAACATATCCAATCATTATTTTAAAGTCTGTATGAGAAGAAGAGATAAGGAAAGCCAAAGGAAATGTGCTGCTCCTCTTATCCAGGCATTTGGCATTCTTAACAAGTTAGATCCCCAGGAAGCCAGATGAATAGATGACTTGCACAATCATCTTTGACATGCTAATATACGTGGGTGCTGAAAACCCAACTGAAGGGGGGCTGGCCTATTAAGCTATGGCATGCTGCAATTTACGTATCTCACCCCTCCCCATGCGAGGAAGGTAACCGAGGATGGAGTGTGCTCAGATCAGCAGGGGATAGGGTGGGAAAATGGGTATGTGCACTGACTATCAATTTGGCCACCTGAAGAAAAGGGGACACAGTGAAAAGATTGACTTTTATTTTTCCTAAAATAAATTTGGCTCTAAGTTGGTCCTCTGGTATATTCTGGAGCAACACTAAAGACAGCACGACTAACCCTAGATGGTCGTTGTGTGCATGGCCCAGCTGGCTTCCCAACAGTAAGAGTGAATACAGATGCCCAGAGACTGGAAACTGCTGATGGTGTGGCCCCACTGATGGTGCAAGTGTAACAGGATCTTTTCAGGAAAAGGAAACCAAAACTAGCAGCAAGAGCTTCCCCAAACACACACCATCAGTCTTAGTCAGCAAAGGGAGAAATCACTATGTCCTTAGAAAAACAAATTCTGTAAATCATATTATAGCTCAGAGCCCATATCCAAAACAAAACCTTAATGTATCTAAAATTGGATAATTGAATTTCTCATAGGGAGCCTTTGTTCTTACTTTATGCCTCCGCATACATGCTTGTAGCCTTTGATAACTTTCATATACTTAGGACAAGAAACAGTAAAACAACATTTAAATTTTAATCAGGGGTTTCCCAACAGACATGCAATGTTGGTGAAATGGAATGGTAAAAGGGAATTAAAAAAAACTCAGAGTAAAATAAGCAGCCACAAAATATAGCCAAGTAGTAATCCTCAATGGGAATGTTAGCATTCCACATTTATAAAGTAAATACAAACATAACTAAAATACATTTCAATTATTTATTTGCTGTATAGATAAGCAGTAATAAAAACTCTCTTTCCTTTGAGTTTTGATTAGGGAAAACATTCTTGTCCATACCTCAATCCATTTCCCCTTTTATTATTATTATTATTATATTTTTATAGTTTTAAGGTAAAATTAAATATATTGAAAAGTATAAAGATTAAATGTACAATTCTGACAAATAAATTCATCCACACAACCCACACATCTATCACTATCTAGAACATTCCACCTCCTAAGAAAGTTCCATGTGGCCTTTTCTCAGGCAGACTACCTGCAGGGAAAGCAATACTTACCCAACAGAGGACATATTTTCTCCAGCACAGAAAAAAATTAAGGAAAACCAACTCCTCAAACCCAGCAAGCTTTATGTTTCAAGCTGCACAGAGGCTTATAATCAGCTTATAATCGGCTTCCTACAGAAATGCCAGTGTAGGAACTTAACACCCAAACTAAATCCAGGCACTGTCCTCTTATCAGTTAGTATTCAGATACAGAGCCTCAAGAAAAGACAAGGGCTTCAATAACATTTAACGACAGGCGTTATTTCTGGAGCTATTTATCTTTTCATGTATTTCAGCAGTACACAAACAAAATGACAGGTCCATAAGCACAACCAGAGAAATAGATAGAAATATTACAAATTGAAAAAACAATAACCTCAGTGTTATTATTATAATGGGATTTCTCACCACTCGCTACAGTGATACATACTTGGCAGATCATATTAAATTTTCTGTCCCTGCTTTCCAGAAAAGTAGGAACAATAGCAATAGTAGCAGGAACACTGGTAATGACCTTGACAGCAGCTAATAAGTATTAGTGATGGAGAAGCAGGGATTCAAAGCAAGTTCTCTCTGTCCCCATTATGCTCTTTTGATTCCAACCATAATGGCACAATACAGGTCGGCACACACACTATTAATACTATATATAACCCTACATCTTATTATGCCTATTTAAGCCTTGCTTTTTGTCCTAACTCCTTTAATCATGCAGGTAAAACCCCTTTCCTCCTTCCCACAAGTCCCCACTTTGGCCCACATAGAGGAAAATTCAACCCACAATTTTGTGCTCTCGGAGAGGGCTGGGAGGAAGCCCCTTCCTCAGTCCCCCTTAGCTGGCCCTTCCTTCTGGGAGGAACTGGAATTTCTACAAGTGAGGAGAGCCTGAGGATGGGCTAGATTCCCCATAGCTGTTAGCGGTGCTAAGGGAAATGGCCTCTTTTTGAACTCAGGCTCCTTCTAGCCAGAGCAGACAGGTCTCTGCTCTCCGCTCCAGCCTCTCCACTCGAGCTTCTCCACTTGGGTGGAGCTATCGGTTAGGTCAGCCCTTCACCAAGGTCCAGTTGTCTACCAGTCACCGGCGAGCAGGAGGAGGCCCCTTCTAGGCCTCGGGTCCTGGCCACATCCTTTGCCACTAATGAGACTGATACTGTCATCAACATTTGGACCTTGGATCTCTTTCCTAAACTAGTTAGAATCTGGGGAGGAGGGATGTAACTAGCCAGGATCCCAAACTCCCAAGAAGCCAGAGTCTTCATCCTTTGTCTCAGCTCACTGCATCTGGACCTCACCTTTCCCTTGTTCGTGTCCCTCTAGCTGTATAGTCAACTCTAAATATGTTGAGGTATGTGCGGGGAGGGGGGTCATTCAGAAGGACTACCCTTCCTCATATCCTGGGTACTTACAGCTCATATAAGCCCTCAGCACTCGTTGACAATTGTTTCCTCATTCCCAGTGGTACGCCCTCCCCTCCCCTCACCCAGTCTAATCACTCCACTCACCACCACCACCAGCAACACCATCACACCACCATCAACCATACTATCAACAACACCGATACCACTACCACCAGCACCAAAACCATCAACACAACTACCACCACCAACACCACAACCGATACAACTAATACCACCGCTACCAATACCACTACCGGCGCCGACACCACCACCACCCAAACCAGCACCACCGCTTCCATCCGTGCTCAGAGCTGCAGCCCACCAGGGGAAGCGACCACCCGATTCCTCGCCAGCGCCGCTGTCACCTTGTTCTCCTCGGGAGTGAACAGGACCCGGAATATGGACGGCACTCCTGGGGCTACTTTGTGGCCAATGTCTTTGGGGCTGATTACTTTAAAGTATGGCGAACTTTCCTCAACAACTTTCACCATCCTCGGAATCTGCAAGAAAAACATACAGTGATGACACGGTGCGTGTGGAAATGCAGGAGAGAAAGCGGGGGCGTGGCAGTTAAACACGGAATCTCCACCTACTACTACTCACTAGCCATGGTCGGGTCTGAGCTTTAGTTTCATCAACTGTTAAAGGACATACAGGCCCTACCTTTATCCCAGTGCCTTACACAAAGTAAGCACTGGATGCATTTTAACTTTAATTTTTATTAACATTATTATTGCCCATTCTTATGGTGATTGCAAGTCTTTGTTCATTTTCTTATTTAAATCTGTCTTCAGAGACTAATGCTAAAACCCTACTACCACAGCAGAGTTGAGCTGGATTTCCCAACATCTGAGAATAGCTCTAAGGGAAGAAATCACATGCACTGCACTCCCCCTGTGGACCATCACTTACATGACACGTGCCACTTAATCCTCACAATAAACCCTGAGCTTCACTGTGACTCCCACTCTACAGAAGAAGCAGATGCTTGCCCTGCATGCTACAGCTTGGCCGAGCAATGGCATTCAAGCCAAGTCCCAGCCTAGCTCCACCTTCCCTCTCCATGAGGTTGTCCTAAGTAAACACCGTGAAGCAAAAACTAGGAGAGCAGTGCACCCTCTCACCGCCAGTCGCACAGCAGCTTAGAACAGTTTTATTCTTTTAAAGTCTATTTCCTCTGCCCTGCTTGCCTTGTCTAAAGCAGTATCTCTGTCTCAGAGAGCCCAAGCAATAAAGGAAATGCAATTGTGAGAAGCATGGGGGTGCTCGGGGGGTGGAAGTTCTAGGGACACGAGGAAAGGGAGAGGGGACTGTTTTTTTAAAGACTAAAAGGGGCAGAAGAAAGTAAACTCTAGTTAAGTATGACCCAGATGCCTCAGGTGAAAAGTGAGGAAAAAAGAACTCCTGCCACCTCTCAAAACTGTAACCAGATGGGGAAGGAGAGAAGAGATGTAGAGCAAATTCAGACAGGTTAAGACCAGGGAGTGGGGAGGGAAGGAAGAGATGTGCGCAGGTCCCACAGGAATAGAAACAGCTTCGCTGGTGCGGTGACATTGGTGACATGTTGAATGATCCTATGGAAGCTTGCTGGGAATACTTTAATAACAGCATAACTGTGAACTAAAAAGTAGAACGGAAAACAACAATAACACTAATGTAATAATAACAACAGTAATAATGGTATAGTGCTTACTCTGTGGCAGGCACTGAGCTGATAAAGAGATCTACCCATTATCTCAGTTAATATTCCAAACAACCTACTGAAATGCGTGCTATGATTATACTCGTGGTTTGGAGAAGGGAAGTGACTTGCCCAGGGTCTGCAGCTGGGAGACGATGGAATCTGAACTCAGAACCCACCTCAGCTGGAATCTGAACCCAGATTCGCCTGTCTCTGGAGTCTGGGTGCTTATAATTATATCCCAAGTAGAATCATGTTGTGGCTTGTTGTGTGTTCGTGGCTTACTTTAAATTTGTGTGTTTGAGAGAGACAGAGAAATAATGACCAAAAAGGCTACGTCTTTTTGCATTCCGTGCCAGTGAGGAAGCAAATAAAACGTAAATGGTGCGGTGCCCCAAATGTAGTTCAGCAGGTCCTTAAGTGTCCACGAACCAAGGAAACAGAGAGGCAGGCTTACATAGCCATCTAGTAGAAGGAACGGCCCTGGGAATAACTCATCCAGAAACAAGCCTGCCTAACCGAGAGAAATCTGCTTGTTGCTAGCTGGATCTCCCTAGATGAGAGCCGTCTTTTCATGGGGTCCAACACTCTAGCAGCATCTTACCAATAGCTCTCAGGTTATCCATGAGAACTGAGTGCCCTTTGGCAGATAAAACTCACACATGCCCCTTATCCTTGACTTGCCCATATACACCAACTGACAAACCTTTCTTGGTTAGGGCCAGGGAGGAGTGACCAAAACTACCCTTTAGACTAGCTCCTCTCTGCCTTTCAAAGCCTAAGAAAACCCGAGCAAAAGTAAAAAGGTACTGTAGAAAGGGAAAAAGGGAACTGGAAGTGAGAAACTAAATTATTTGGCAGCCCTACATGAAAAGAGAGTCCTAATGTCTAGGCAATATAGCTCTTCTTGGGGTCTAGGAACATAATCCTGCGTTATTTTTCTTCTCTATGCCTACATGTTAGAGTCTATCCCATGAGCGTTTCCTGCTAACACTCCTGCAGCGCAACACTAAATACACCATTTTTCCCAGAGTCTGGCTTTGCTGTCACTAAATCACTCCATTGATCTCTGAGGCATTGCTGGTTCATTTAATGAGCTACTGTGCCGAATACATCTGCAAGTCTTCCCATTTGCCTTGGGTTCTTGCACAGTCTTTACTTTTTTCCCCTTTTTCCTTACAGTGAGAATTTGCCTCCACATCTTAGGCTCTGTAAGGAGTACTACTTGTCTTTACAACTGAACGTTAGCATCTCTCAGTGCCTTCTTCCCTATCTGAATACTTTTCATACTTACAACACTCTGAGACTTATCTCTGCTTTATGCTGACCTCCAGCCTTATTCCTTTTTGTATTGTCATTAGATGTCAAGGAAATCTTCAGGTATTTAATACCTTTTCTTGAAATAAATCCTAATTTATCTCTGAAGAAAAAGGCATAGGATGGAGAAGAAGTCCTCAGTTGCAACAACAAAGAAATAAGGTATAAACAGTGGGAGAAGCTGTCCAAAACTATCTGCAGACAAAATCTGAAGGCTTCTGAGGTAGAAAGGAGATAGAAAAGGGGGAATGGGATGTCCATTTTTTTTTTTTTTATTAAAAGAAAATACAATTTGTAGAATATAAATGCATTGGCTGAACAACTGCAATTCATATGGGTTTATACCTTCAATTAGGGATTGGAGGCTCTAATACAAAGTATGTAAGCATGAATAGTAATCATCCTGTCTTAAATGAAAGCCTAGCCCACTGGTTACATATGAGAACTCCATGACATTCACTAGCCAATCCTTTACGCAACAAAATGTTAGTGAACGTGTTGGGAGTTTACTGTTGGGCACTGTCCTGGGATTGAACAGATATATAGCAACAAACAAACCAACATAGTCTTGTCTTCATTAAGCTTATAATCAAAGGGCATGTTTTCATCTATTTTCCTAGGTCTATCAAATTAAAGAATTTATTTAAGATCCTACATGTTCCCATTTTATTTAACTCCTTCTTATATAACCATGGAAGATAGAGCCATCGCATCCAACATACTCACTTTGTCATTGTTCCTCAAAACCAATGGCACTTCATAGACTTCACAGGGAGTGTAGTTCTGAAATACTATTTCTGATGGAAAGGGCTGGAATAATGCCTGATCCAGGTCAATTCCTGAAAACTTCAGTTGAAAAAGTAAATTAATCACAGTCACACAGTGGCACAAATGACTTGGGAAGATAAGACAACACTACATAGATCTATGGATATTAATACTAACAACATAGGAAACACTCAAAAAGGAGTAATTACTATAAGCCAATTGTTATAATTGGTAAGGTTATTTTCATCAACTTCTTTAATACAAAAGAAAGTAGACGTTTTGGCCCTCAGTTTAAAAAATAGAGGCTAGCTTTTGGCTTTTGGCTTGGAGAAGGCTTAGGTGCAACTTTCTTTGGTCCTCCTGAATCTGGGTTCATCCGACACCAGCCGCCTCCACCATGCTGCTAAAGTTCAACCCCAATGAGCTCCTATACCTGAGGTTCACTGGTGGGGAAGTTGGTGCCACATCTGCCCTGGCCCCCAAGATCAGCCCCCTGAGCCTGTCTCCAAAAAAGGTTGGTGATGACATCACCAAAGCAACCGGTGATTGGAAGGGTCTAAGGATTCCAGCGAAACTGACCACATTCAGAACAGACAGGCCCAGATGGAGAGAGTGCCTTCTGCCTCTGCCCTGATCATCAGAGCCCTCAAAGAACAGCCACGAAACAGGAAGAGGCAAAAAAACCCCAAAAACCCATTAAGCATGGTGGAAATATAACTTTTAGTGAGACTGTCAACATCGCCGGACAGACGCAACATTAATCTTTAGCTAGAGCACCCTCTGGAACCATTAAAGAGACCCTGGGGGACTACCCAGTCTGTGGGCTGCAATGTTGATGGCAGTCACCCTCGTGACACTATAGATCAAATCAATACTCCAATGGAATGCCCAGATAGTTAAGAACTACAAAGGAAAATACTTCAATTAAAGACCATTTGATAAACAAACAAACAAACAAATAAGGCTAATTAGAACACTTCTAACACTTCCATTCCTGGGAATGGTGAATAGGCAATTTGAACCAATTCCCCTATGAAAACAAGAAAAGCTGTACCAAAAAATAACTGCCTGGAGGCACTAAAGAGCTAACAAGATAGTACTGAATATTGAAACTATGAATTACCTCAAGCTAATAGCTTGTATACTATCCAACAAGTTTTAAGTATTGTCATATTTCCCTTAAAATTTAGAATATCCCATGATGCCTTGTGAGTTCATGGCTGTAACCCTGAGGCACCTTGACACAAAGTTTGGAAACTGAAAATGTAAGCATCCATTCTCAGTAATTTAGAAAAACAATAGCAAATATTAAAAAAACCCTAAAATCCCAAGCAAATAAAAAATGAAATGACAAAGTTAATAGCAGAAATTAATGAAACAGAAAGTAACTATACTATAGAAATAACAAAGCCAAAAGTTGAGACTAATAAAACTGATAAAATACCTAGTGAACCTGATCAAGAAAATAAGACAACAGGTACAAAGAGCCTATTCAATAATGAAAATAGGGACATTACTACAGAACCTAAGCTAATGAAAAAGATAATAAATGGATATTATGTCAATAAATGTGAAAAGTTAGATAAAAAGTACAAATTCCTAGAAAAATACAATTTATCAAAATTAGCACAAGAAGAAATAGAAAATTGAAATAATTTTTATAACTATTAGAGAAATTGAATTTGTAAATTAAAACTTTTCATAAAGAAAATTCTGGCCCAAATAATTTTACAAGAAAATTCTAGAGAAGATACAACTCAAATACTATAGAAACTCTACCAAAGGAAAGAAAAACAAAAATTAAATATCTCCCAACTCAACTGATGATGCTAGCATAACTTTCATATACCTAAGAAAGACAGTAGGAAAAGGAAAAATTATAGGTCAATGTTAGGTCATGAACCATAGATTCAAAAAAAGAAACAAGATATTAGCAAACTAAAACCCACAATATCTAAAAAGGATAACACATGACAACTTAAGTTCATCTTGGAAATTCAACATTTCAAAGTTAANGGGTGGGAAGAGATTAGCCAAAGAACTTATATGCATATGTGCATCACCCATGGACACAAACAATAGTGTGGTAAAAGCCTGGTGCAAGGGGAAGATGCAGGGTAGAANTAACACTTCCATTCCTGGGAATGGTGAATAGGCAATTTGAACCAATTCCCCTATGAAAACAAGAAAAGCTGTACCAAAAAATAACTGCCTGGAGGCACTAAAGAGCTAACAAGATAGTACTGAATATTGAAACTATGAATTACCTCAAGCTAATAGCTTGTATACTATCCAACAAGTTTTAAGTATTGTCATATTTCCCTTAAAATTTAGAATATCCCATGATGCCTTGTGAGTTCATGGCTGTAACCCTGAGGCACCTTGACACAAAGTTTGGAAACTGAAAATGTAAGCATCCATTCTCAGTAATTTAGAAAAACAATAGCAAATATTAAAAAAACCCTAAAATCCCAAGCAAATAAAAAATGAAATGACAAAGTTAATAGCAGAAATTAATGAAACAGAAAGTAACTATACTATAGAAATAACAAAGCCAAAAGTTGAGACTAATAAAACTGATAAAATACCTAGTGAACCTGATCAAGAAAATAAGACAACAGGTACAAAGAGCCTATTCAATAATGAAAATAGGGACATTACTACAGAACCTAAGCTAATGAAAAAGATAATAAATGGATATTATGTCAATAAATGTGAAAAGTTAGATAAAAAGTACAAATTCCTAGAAAAATACAATTTATCAAAATTAGCACAAGAAGAAATAGAAAATTGAAATAATTTTTATAACTATTAGAGAAATTGAATTTGTAAATTAAAACTTTTCATAAAGAAAATTCTGGCCCAAATAATTTTACAAGAAAATTCTAGAGAAGATACAACTCAAATACTATAGAAACTCTACCAAAGGAAAGAAAAACAAAAATTAAATATCTCCCAACTCAACTGATGATGCTAGCATAACTTTCATATACCTAAGAAAGACAGTAGGAAAAGGAAAAATTATAGGTCAATGTTAGGTCATGAACCATAGATTCAAAAAAAGAAACAAGATATTAGCAAACTAAAACCCACAATATCTAAAAAGGATAACACATGACAACTTAAGTTCATCTTGGAAATTCAACATTTCAAAGTTAACATTCTTACCCTTTGGGACAGTATGGATGGAACCTGGAGAATATTATGCTAAATGAAATAAGTCAGGCAGAGAAAGACAAATATCACATGACCTCACTTACATGTAGAATCTAAAGAACNGGGGGGAAAGGGGGACATCTGTAATACTTTCAACAATAAAGATAAATTTTTGAAAAAATTAATCAAGAGAAACAAAACTCATTTTCCCCAGAAGAAAATATTACTTATTTAGAAAATTCAAAATAACCAAAGAGACAAACTATTAGAATTAATAACTGATTTATCAAGGTCACTGAGTACAAGACCAATATACTAAAAACAATTTATTTCTATGCACTACCTATGAACACTTAAGAAATAAAATTTATAAACAATACCATTTAAAATAGCATCCCAAAACATAAAATGTGTAGGAATAAGTTCAATGGAAAGTGTGCAAGATCTTTATTTATAAAACCTATAAATATTACTAAGAGGAATTTAAAAAGACCTACATAAAATACAGGAATATACCATATTCATGAATTGAAAGACCCAATATTTAAAGACTGTCAAATATTCCCCAAATTGATATAAAAAATCATGCAATTCAATAAAAAAATCCCCCCAAAATAATATCCAAATGGCTAATAAAATACAAAAAGGTGCTCCACCTCATTAGAAATCAAGGAATTGTAAATTAAAACAGAGTGACAGCACTGGACACCCAATAAAATAATGTTAAAGAGACTGACAGGATTAAATATTAGCATGGATGTAGTGCAACTGTAATTCTCACACACAGCTAGTGGGAGTGAAAACTGGTACAAACACTTTAGAAAACTGGTAATTTTCTACCAAAGTAAAACATATACATAGCCTATAACCTAAATATTCTAGTTTTGTGTATAAGCCCAATAGAAATGTGCACATGTTCACTAAAAGGTATGTACAAGAGTATTTATAACAGCGTCATTTATAATAGCCAAAATGTGGAAAAAAACAAATGCTCATCAACAGTCAAATGGATAAATAAATGTTGTATAGTCATACAGTGGAATCCTACACAGCAACACAACAACACAACAATAAGCTGCTGCTACACACGACATAAATAAATCTCAAAAAACACACTATTGAGTGAAGTTGGCCAGAAATTAACTGGACATATGAACTGAATGTATGATTCATAGTTCCTGGGATAGGCCATAGCAAGAGATATAATTACGAAAGCAATAATTTAAAAAGTGGAATTTAAAGCCTTGTTCCTAGAAGAGGTCACCTAAGGAGTGGGTTCAGAAGAGAAAGAAGAGGTTCAAGGACCAAGCACTAAGACCCTCCAACATTAAGTGATCAAGAAGAGGAGAAAAAGCCAATAAATAAAATAAATAAAATAAAATAAAATAAATAAAATAAAATAAAATAAAATAAAATAAAATAAGCAGCCAGTGAAGCAGGAAGAAAAGCAAAGTACTGTGATGTGTGAGATACAAGTGAATAAAAGGTACAAAAAAGAGACACTAACTAACTGTCAAATGCTATAAGACGACGCAGGTGTGCTCAACTGGTCAAGCTTAGGAATGAATTTGAAGAGAAATACACATACACAGAACTCAAAGTAAGGGACGCAGAAGGTAGCCTGGTGAATGTAATTGCAATGCAATGAAAATGAGCAGAAAGTTAAAAATGGATTAGAGGAGACACAGAAGGTATAGGAGGGCAGACAAAGAAGGTCCAACATCTTCATAATTTACATTCCTAAAGATTAAGGACCAAAAATGGCACAAACAAGAAAACTTTCTAGAAATGACATAAAGGTACAGCCCTAATAAAATTATTGGACATTAAATAAGAATAAACAATCTTTGGGCATACAGCCTAAAATATTAAAGTATTTATATTTTATCCTGGGGGAAATCAAGCTGGCTTTATACCTTTATACTCCATTATTGAAAACCAAAAGGTAGTGAGGAAAATGCCTGTAAAGCTCTATGGGAAAAATGTGTGGTCCAAGAATTTTATACCTAACAAAACTGCAGTTCTGTATAAAGGCAACAGGCAAATATGATCAAACATATAAAACCAAGGAAATAGTTTCCATAAGCTCTTCCTGAAGAAATTAATAGTTGGATGACTGTCACCCAACTAAGAGACAAATGAAACTCCTGAAAATAAAGCAAAAATAAGCAGCTAAGTTGAGAGAAGAAAGAGAGAAGGTGAGATGTAGTGAAGTATACTTAGGTCCTCATTTTTCATAGCAGGAGTCAAAATACATTAAAACACACATAAAAGCAGTACACACAGAAAAACACATGGAGTCTGGTCTTAGTTAGGCTATGGGAAAGGAGCAAATAGCCCTTAATTAGGATGAATGAGCTTTGGGAAAAGCTACGTTCCCTGCCCTCAAAGTTGGAGAGTGGTTATGGAGAAGAGAATAAATAATAATTAAAGCTAGCAGGGCTCAGAGGAAGAGCAAATTTTTATGCAGATCCTTGACAGGGGAGGCAATGGTATTGCAGTTAAGAGCAAAAGAGCCTCAGGGACTCATTCCTCATGTAGGAAATAACCCTGAAAAACTCTCAGCAATAACTGAGGAACCCTTTGAGAGGAGGTTAATCTCCAGCAGTTCAACTGATGGAGGTCCATATCATGATTTCTACATAAAAAGTGAAACATATAATTCAAGAAGTTAATTAAAAAGTAGGAAATACTTTATTTTATAATCATATGCTCCTAAGGCCTATAATATATAGATTACATTAGAATATAGAAACGCATTAAAATAACTATTCTTTAGAGATTACAACAAAACATTTGTTATTGGAAATGACCCAGAACACACAAGTGCCTACTTTAATAAGCAATTCTATTTCTTCCTTTCTAGTGATGACAGCTCAGTTAAGGAGGGATTTCTTGTGCTAAGAAGATAACTTAATTAGGCTTGGCTAATATAATTATTGGAATACTAATCTGTAAAAAATACTGTGGCTAAGTAGCTAAGAAAGTAGCTAAGAAAGAAATGTGAGTAGTTAAAAGTTATATGTAACTTTTTACATATAACTTTAATTATAATTAATTGTAATTCTCTCCATATCAAATCAGGTATCAAGATCAACAGAGGAAGAAAAAGAATGTATTAAAAAAACAAAAGATTAGCCCAGAAACAATAAGTATTAAGAATGTTCGCATTATGCCAGGGCCTACTTTATATGCTAGAATGATAGAAAGCAGCTACCTTTTGATGTGTTGTTTCCCCCATATCTAGAAGTTCGATGACCTGTGGTCGGCACATCAACCGTGTATTTGCCAGTCTCTGTTCTGTGGTCAGGGACATTTCCTTCAGGAACTCCGAGGGTGTTAGCTAGAATTTAAAACAACAGGAGCCGAAGATTCATAAATGGTTACACTGAAAAATTGTTTTCATACGTTCCAGTAATGAATAACTTGTGTTTGCAGCTTTCAGGATAATTCTGGAATGCATTAAGTTCCATTATAAAATATTTAAAATAACTAAATAATACAAGAGAAGTAGCCATGCACTTTTGAGCTCTTTGCAAGTAATTTGAAATGGCATGTGGCTACTGTTTCTTTATGATTTTGAAGGAATCACACAAAGGAACCTGGGGGGCGGAGGGAGTAGAGAAATTGCACAGGAACATGTCCAAAGAGCTTAATGCTTATGCTCAGACGAGGCATTTGGGCATAAAACTCTAACTTTCTAAAATCACTTTCAGGCTTCAGAGATAAGAAGTTTGAAACATCTGTTTCTCAACTGAAGTTACAACATGCAAGCAAAGCTTGTGGGTGTTTAACTATAAGGTTATATCAGGTTAAAGAGTAACCTTATAAAAGCTACAGGGTCTGGGAAGTGGGATTACACCACTTAAGAATAAATTGGGCCCGGTCAGGTGTAGCTCAGTGCTTGAGTGTCGACCTAGGATCCAGGCGATCGGGGTTCGATTCCCGGTCAGGGCACATGCCTGAGTTGCAGGCTCGGTCCCCAGTCAGGGCGTGCAGGAGGCAGCCAATCAATGACCCTCTCATCACTGATATTTCTCTCTCTCTCCCTCTCCGTTCCTCTCTCTGAAATCAATAAAGATATATTTTAAAAAAGGAATAAGTTGGAACTTTTTAGAAATCACAAGGGTGCATTTACAACTTGTTTTAAAAGAGATCAAACCCCATCATCAGATCTGGCAGTCAGTCATATTCACATACCCAAATGAGAACACAAAATACTTCGAAACACTTTCTAAAGTTATGAGGGGAAAAAAAATGTAACCTATCGTTTATCATTTAAGTAACTGAACAAGGGCTTAGTTACCCAGGACCAATCACTATTATATAGTTGTTGTGCTGGGATGTTCACATTATTTCCAGAACCTACTTTATGTATTAGTTTTCTTACTTACTTACTTAAATAATTAATTAATTTATAAGAGAGAGTTTTGTAAATTAAACTTGTAATTTTGAGATAACTGTAGATTTACATGCAGTTAGTTATAAGAAACAATAACGAGAGAAACCAGGTACCATTTGCCTAGTTTCCCCAAGAACAGTGTCTTGCAAAACTGGTACAGTATCACAGCCAGGATATTGACACTGATACAGTCAAGATGCAGAACATCCCCATCATCCATGGCCTACTTTAGATGCAAGGAGATTGTGATCATTATGAAGCAACATAATGCTTCAGAGTATGTGCCGAGACTTTAAAATACAATCACAGGAATATAATTCAACCGGTTTGTTTTGCCTTGGGTTAAAAATCAATGCTTTTCAAATTCCCTACAAAATTATCTTCTGTAATTGAATCCATTTAAATGAAGGCATATTTCAAATATAGCTTCCAACTTGTTTTTTTTTAAGTTTTTTTAAAAATTGGAATCCAGATTAGAATACTAAAACATTAAGAGGTATCAGCTGTGTTGTGATTTTAAAGAAATAACAAAGTCTTAAAAGCAAAAAGTCAGGAGTTACCTTCACTATGAAACCATAACCACCACAAAAATAATACTTGATTTTTCTAATTAAACTATAACTTGAGACTAGTTTTTAAAATGCAGTAGATACTATACCTAACACTGTAAATTGTTATTGATATTTTCTATAGTATGTAGTTTATAATTCAATTCTCATCAAATCATTATAATTCATTAAAAATTTAAATATTTTTAATATTGTATGTCAACAGCAATTTAAAAATTAAAACTTATATAAATATCTTTATTTTAAAGGAAAGGAAAATTATATATTTTCCCTATAATATAGTCATTATTTTAATATTCTATGTTCTACAAATATGCAAACAAAAGTAACTCTTGCCAATCAACAGGCAATAGATTGTTTAGGTTAAAACCTGTAAAATTCTGATATTAGATTGTTTTTGAACTACACAAATGACAGTTTCATAGGGTTCAACTAAATATTTAGAAAACCTAACAATTTGCTTGCAGAGTCTTACTGCAACTGATTAACTAAAGCAATCGAAACCTGTTTCAATGGATATAATTTCAAAAACTTCTGAGGCTCTAAGAGGTACCTATGCTCTGCAACAAGCTACCATGCAGACTATATTTATCTTATCGGCCAGCAATTCCTTTGATATTCTGATAATGCCGATTAGCAGCTGTCCCCCTGAGGGGACTGCAGGAAGTGCCCCCCTGAGGCCCTGATACCTTACCATCTGGTTCACCTCTTCTTCCTTCACCACCTTGGGGCTCAGGGGCGGCAGCACCTTGCTTTGGAAGCCTTTCAGCATTCTCACCAACCCCATTTGAACGGCCCCCATGGACTCCTCAAGTCTTCTACTTGTCATTTTTAGTTATTTCCTTTGCTCACCTAAGAGTGCGAAAAAAGTTTTAGAACAAATACGGATAATTCCCGAATACAGGTCACTTTTTTTTTTTTTAACTTTTTCAAATACAGGAAGGTTTTTAAATACTGATCTTCAAAAAGACATGTTTGGAACAAATACCATACCCAAAGGGGTCTATGTCATGTAACTAGTCTAGATTTAGCCTTATCTCAAAGTTTAGAATCCCTTTTCGACAAACCAAGGATTCTGGATGAAGCTCACAAAAGACATGAAAAATATGAGCAGTTCTTACATTTGGGCACTTTTCTTTTCCCCAGATAAGCAAACACTGCTCAATAAATGTACTTCATAACTTGCTATTTTTATCTGCTATTTTATATATTTGACTATTGTCCCCCATGACATCCTTCAAACAGAAAAAAAACACAGGGCTTTAGGTTCTTCACAGGTGGGCAGAGGACTCAAAAAAGGCAGCATGAGATGAGATGGGAAATGTGAAGTTTCTGGAAAAGGTGTGAAGCTTAGTCATAAATAAGGCATTAAACAGCCACTCAATATCTCCAAATCTTTCCTTTGCATATCCTTTATACTTCTAGCAGAACACCTACAACTTTCGGGGCCCATTTATGACAAAGTAGGGATTTCTGTCTTCAGTAACAACAGGCTAGGTTATTCAACCCTTTACCAAAACATAAACAGACAAACTCTAACTAAAAATACTTGATACAACATCAAATAAAACACCCTAAAATTCAAAAGTTCACAAGACAGTAAGGGATTACCAGACCAAAATGGAGGGGAAATAGGTGCATAAAGGAAAATAGATTTGAATGAAAATAGAATAAGGTACACTGAAGTAAAGCAGTAAAACACCCAAGAAAATGAATATAAAATTTTAAAAAAGGAAAAAACATTATAAAGAACAAATGATTGAAATAGAAGATAGTCAAAGAAAGTCTAACATGCTATAACTGGAGTCCATGAACAAGAAAAATAAAGTACTGGAATGGAACTAAAATTTAAAACTACAATCCAAGAAAATTTTTTAGAAATAAAAGAAAATGTAATCAAAAGGGACCAGCAGGTGCCCAAGAAAACTGAACCACAATGATCAACTCTGAGTCATATCTTAGCAAAACTATTAGACTTCAAAGAATTTTTAAAACTTCTCATAGCTTCCAGGCAAAAAAGTAAAATAACTTACTAGGGCAAGAGAATGAGATACTATTGGGCTCTGAAAAAGCAACCTGTGAAATGGGAAAAGAGAGGAGCAACACTTTCCAAAAACTTTAACAAGTGTAAGCCAAGAATGGTATATGCAGCAAAGCTCTCCTTCAATTATCAAGGCTACAGAAAAGGAGTTTGAGCATGCAAAAACTCAAGGACAACTATAAGTATGTTCCCTTCCTGAGGAATCTACTAGAGGGTAGACTTCATCCAACCAAAAGGTGACTGGAGAACTTCAGCAAAAGGACTGACAACGAACATTCCATGTATTTAATTATAGAGCTAAGAATAAAATGAAGTTGAGGACACGAGGAGAACAGAATTTAAACAGTATATTTTCTGACAAATAGAATGCAATTTTAAAATGAAAGAATAAAAAGAGAAAAAAATCCAAAAGTAGAATAAGCTCATTAACAATTGTATGAAAAATAAGTAGGAGTCAAACCATTTCACCAGGTAGAAAGGATTTATGGAATTGTGATAGAAAGGCACTATGATGGCAGACAATGATACTTGTTCTGAGGTTTTTCCATGTCTCTGTGACCCAAAGGGGTGCTTCAGCCTCACTCCTATATTCTGGTATTTTAACAAAGGTGTCCTGTCTATGGATAGTTTCTAGTTAGTCTTTTTGTGAGGGAGACTGAAGTTAACCCTTTATTCCATCCTGTTGGTGCTATCACTTCCCACATTATTTTATATTGTAATAATTTTGTGTATTACATTGATTTATTATTTATCTTTGTTTAGTATGTCTTCTTTGCTTTTTTCTAAAATTTCTTTTCGCATTTCGGAAAGTTTATCTTTATGTTCAATAGTTTTCTTTATATATAAACCCTTTATAAGGCCTACATTGGTTATCTATTGCTATATAACAACTTTACTAAATATTAATAGCTTAAAACAATGACTATTTGTTTTCTATAGGTCAGGAATATAGGTGTGGCTTAGCTGGGTGCCTCCTACTCAACATCTCTCGTGTATTTCTGGTCAAGCTGTTGTCCAGGACACAGTCATCTCAAATCCCAACTGGGATGGCAAATCTGGCTTCAAGTTCATCCACATGGTTGTTGGCAGGGCTCATTTCTTACAGTTTCTGTGATTCAAGAATTTGGAAAATCTGGGCTAGGTGATTTGGCTTGGGGTCTCTTAACGAGGCTGCAGTCAAAGATGCCAGCAAGGGTTGTAGCTGTCTGAAGGCTTGACTAGGGCAGGAAAATCCACTTCCAAAAGTGCGCACTCGGTCAGCAGGTTGGCCCTGGCTGTTGGTGCGAGCCTCTCCTAGGGCTGCTTGAGTGTCCTCGTGGCATAATAACTAGCTACACCTCTAGAGCAAGCAGCCCAAGAAATCATGGGAGAAGCTACAATGTCCTTTGTAGCACAGAAGTCACGCACCATTGTTTATGCAACACCTGTTGGTCACACAGATCAGCCCTGTTCAGCACGGGAGAGGCCACATAAGGGCTTGACTACCAGGAGGTGAGGACCATGGGGGAATCACCTTGAAAGCCAGCTACCACATTCACTGTGTTCTCTTATTGTGAGGATTAAATGAAATAACATTTGCAAAGTACGTCACAGTACCTGTTCTTAGTGTTATAATTAGCAGAAATTTTGATTTAAAAAAACTGAAAAGACAGAAATTCCATTCAATTAAAGCTTGCTTTCTGTAAGTAAGAGTGTATAAAACTGTTCACATGTCATCAACTTGTGCTCCTGCCACAGTGAGGGCAGGGGCAATTACACTCTGGGATGTTGATAAATATTTCTTTACCCCCAAACACCACTTTAGCAGGAAAATATCACAGAAAAAATGGGGAAAATGCTCAAGTAAATGCAACATGATTTTTGTTGTCGGCGAGAGGTTCTCCGGGCACTCAGTACGAAAGGATTAATTTTTATTTTTTAATCCTGCTTCATCTTTTGATTTTCTACTGTTCCTAAAGCTGTCACACTCCTTGGTTTTCTATTTGTTTGATCTCTTTTAAATTGGATTATTTCAGTCTTCCTAGGTTTCACATTGGCCTCTGCTCTCTTCGCCTTGAAACACTTCCTGAAAACAATCTGTCTCTGTAGGATGTATGACTTATTCTATCTGCAGTAGATAAAAGAGAGACGAACTTCAGAAAGAATCATCTTACTTGGCCCATGTTGAAGGAAAGGAAAATGAAGGTGAATTTTCTTCTGGACACCAAGTCCAATGTGGGGTGGGGGGCATCTCCACACCAACAAGCAATTCTCCGGACATCAGCTGGGTGTCTTATGATTCAGCTCAATTCTGACAATATCTACATGGACAGAGAGTCAGATTCTACAGGTTAAGAATTCAGTCCTCCAAACTACCCCCACCCCCCACTTCAGATGCCAGTCAAAAGCTCAGGTTTTCATTTGTACTTCTGTCCAACTAGCTATAAATCAGAGGTTCCCAAGACCACTGCCTTAGATTCAATTAATTCAATAGAGCAGCTCCCACAACTCAGAGAACCACTTACAGGATTACCAGTTTATTATACAGTGGTGCCTCGGTTTTCAAATGTAACCCATTCCAGAAGACTGTTCGAGTTCTGAAACGTTCAAAAACCAAGGGATCCACAGCCGACAGCTAGGCCTCGGGATCTTGCCCTCAGGGGAAGCCGTGTGGCATGTTTGACTTCCGAGGCATGTTCGAAAACCGAAGCACTTACTTCTGGGTTTATGGCGTTCGTAACCTGAAATGTTTGTCAACAGAGACGTTCGAAAGGTTCATCAACAGAGACGTTCGAAAATCGAGGTACCACTGTAAAAGGATATAACTCGGGAATAGCCAGACAGAAGAGATATAATGCAAGGTATGTGGGAAGGGGCTCAGAGCTTCCATGCCCACTCCGGGGGCAGATCTCTCCCCAGATCTCATCATGTTCATCAACACAGTCCTTCTGGGGTTTCATGGAGGCTTTCTTACAGAGGCATGATTGATTAAATCATTGGCTATTAGCAGCTGATTCAACCTCCAGCCCCTCTATTCTCCCCGACTGAAAGTTCCAACCCTCTAATCACATGATTCTCTTGGCAACCAGACCCCATCCTTAGGTGAGTTTCAAAAGTCACCTCATTAACATAACCAAAAACACCTTTATCACTCTCAACACAGGAAATTCCAAAGGTTTTAGGAGCTCAGTGCCAGAAAGTGGATGAAGACCAAGTACATATTTCTTATTATAAATCACAGTATCAGAAGATGTACAGTGAAAACAGATTTTCCCTAGGCCTCAAATTACAAAAAGAACCGCTTCTTCATAGGAAAATGTCAGGTGCTGGAGGCTTGTTCAAACGGTAGAAGCTTCCAGGCAAGACACAGGCAGGAGAAAAGTCAAAACAATCAACTACAGGGCCATACAGAAAGAAGGTAATGACAGCAACAGATAGAGCCATAGCTGCAGAAAGGGGCTTCTTATTATTTGTGAGCCTCAATTCATATCATTGTCATGACTTATACCAAGAATCTACAAGTATTATAGCTCTAAATAGATTACTTTCTCATATGGGAATTCAATTATGTTATTTTTCAATTTAATATATAATAGAGTACAGCAGTCCCCCTTTATCCAAAGGAGGTTTGTTCCAAGACCCCTAGTCTGAAACTGCAAATAGTACCAAACCCTCCACATACTGTTTTTCCTTATACATACGTAACTTTTTCAGTTAAAGGAAGACTCTTTGGCTTCTCTTTGGCATATCCAAATTGCCAGCATCATTACTCTTGCACTTTGGAGCCATTATTAAGTAAAATAAGGGTTATTTGAACACAAGTGCTATGATACTGCTACAGTCAATATGATAACCCAGGCGGCCACTAAGTGACTAGCGGGGCAGGGGGGTGTATACAGTACGGAGACTGGACGGAGGGATGAGTCGTGTCCTGATGGGACATGGAGAGACTTCATCTCAGAATAGCACACAATTTAAAACTTATGAATTGTTTATTTCTAGAATTTTCCATTTAATTTTCAGACACTGTAACTGTGGAAAGCAAAACCACAGGTAAGGAAGAACAACTTTATCTTCTCTATGCAAAGCACTGTATTAGTTAATGATAAATAAAATCATATTGTTTTTGAGGAATGAAGATGAAACTTAGTAATAAGGCCACTAGCATATGGGAATAAGCACCCAGAAATATGACTGGCCTGATTATTCTTCACCATCTTGTCAACCTTCTAGAGCCTTGAGGCAGGCTTTCGTTTATAATCTGCCCAGATTTTCTAGTTGCCCTCAGCAGGAGAGTGAACCTGCATTACCTACCACCATTTTCAGAAGCAGAAATCTTCATTTACTGAGCGTACATGATATAAGGGGAGAAATCCTAATCCATGCCTAAGGAATTTTCAATAGGAACTTTTACATTGAAGATAAAATGCAACAGTGAAACACAATACAATAGTGGCCAGAACTAGTAGAAGGGTACTTATAGCACTGCTCAGATGTCTGAAATTAACCTGGATAATCTAATCATGCCACCAAATCCAAGATTTATAGAGCTGATGGCCTGACATCTTGATTGTCAAGGTACCAAGTTGAGATAAAATTACTTATAATTATACAATTACTTATAATACTGTTAGGTGAAATGAACACTTAGTGTGTTAATACTGAATAGCTACTTGCAGAACTTTAATGGCCAAAAGTAAACATTTAAAATTTGTCTACCAAGCAACCAAGGGCGTATTTTCCAGCCCCTTCTCACTTGAAGAATCCAAAAAAAGCAATAAATGTTTTGAAAAGGTATCTTAAAATTAAGACTCTCTGAGCTTTAGCTGAATCTTCTTTCAGAGTCTTAATCCATGTAGGGAATCTAGATTATCAGACTCCCTATCTCGGACACCCTCAGGTGACATGGTAAAATGCATAGTTCTTATCTCTGGGACTCCCATTCTCTCCTCCCAAGTCTATTATCCCTATTGACATATTCAGCCCTCCTTCTTTCTAGGTTTTCAGAATGTCCTGTTTTCCTTGATCAAACTACACAGTTATTTAGATGTAAAATCTCTGGAACTCTCTCCTTCCATCCCACCCTGCTTCCAAGGCTAACTTAGATTCATCTTACAGGTCTCGGGTGAAACATCACTGCCTCTGGAAAGCCTTTCTTGACCTCCCGAAAGTCCCCTTGTTATATGTTCTCAGAGCAGTTGTACTTTTCACATATTGAGTAAATTGTGTGACTAGATTTTTATGTCTGCCTTGTTCACCAGAGAGCAAGTTCCATAAAATCAGAGACCTTTACCATTGTGCTCATTACTGGTATATATGCCTAACAGAGTGCCTGGCGTAGAATCAATAAATATTTGCTGAATAATTGGATGGGCAGTTAAATCACTGAACCATTTATTATACATTCCTTCTCAACGATATCTTCATTTTTGCCCGGCTGGCGTGGCTCGGTGGTTGAGCATCGACCTAGGATCTAGGAGA